AGCAGAACATTTTTCGTGCACACAGCACACAAGTACAGTGGAAACCCGCCTTTAAGGTCGCCGTCGTAATGTTACAAGTAATAAATATACTATACCCAATAGCTGGTACCTATAGATTGTCCTCTCTCCACAATATTATATAAACTCGATACCACCTACAGTCGTGTGTGTAAATCTGCAACATTTCGACAACCAATCTCCCAGCGTAAACGATAATGATATTATGCTTGTCTGTTTCTGCCCCGAAGCAAATTTGAAAAAACATCAATAACTACTTAACGGAAACACAATCCTCCCGCTCCAGAAACACGAAAAACGTTTTTATTTCAACTGAAAACCGTTGTACTATTTTACCCGGTTGTTAGGATGCACTGGATTCCAATCTTTTATACGTATTTCAGATATTCTATAGTTATATTAATTTTATTTCTAACAAGAAAAAAAATATCTTGGTGAAATTCCTGAAATGCTCAAATATGATTATTACTGTCTTTTATTTGGGAGCCATCTAATTGGCTATATATGGCTATCTCAAAATTCAAAAAATGGATTTGGCTCACTAGAAATACCTATACAGACATACAGTTTGCTCTTATCAAATATGACAGACACTACGTCATGTGAACTAGGAACTGGCTAAAAAGAGATAACATTTCAGTTATGTAGTTTTAAGAGTCATTATGCTGTAATATTATAGACGCGACCTATGAATCTCTTATTTAGTAATTTTCTGATAAATTACTATAAGCATTAAGCTATTCTTTGTATACTTATACTAAATCCAAACATACCGCATATTTGTAATAACAATTTTCTACTCGGCAATCTTGAATGCCGTAGAAAAAATTCAAAGTGGATACAAACAAATATTATTATAAACATACATATAGTGAAAAAAATATTTGCTAAGTAACGCAATAGAAATGTAGATTATTTAAAAATCAAGAATTCTTGCTATATACAAACCAAGAAATATTTAAACCTACCTAACGAGTAACAACTTTAAAGCTACCTGTATATAAAATAGTCATATAATAAATTATAATATAAATACCTATTGATTATTATTTTTCAAAATTAAGTATGTTTAGTGAATAGGAAAAATGTGCAATGATTTAAAAAATGTATAGTTTATAAGATGAAAAATATTTTTAAAGAGTGATATTTTAACACAGAAAAGTACTTTAAAATAGTGTTGAGTTTTCTACGGCCACCCGATGGTCGATGAAGCGCATTGCACCAACACATCAAGTTGAAAGGTCCAAATTTGTTGAATCTATCAATACATTATCAGTATGTCTATGTGCCGCTATAGGTCATTAATCAGTTTTAATAATATGTATAATATACTGTAGGAATGTATAGAAATGTATACAAATTAATTAAATTAAATATCTGATATAAATCATATCAAACTTTTCACATATTCCTAAACATATATAAATGTACTGAAATCAAGCAATAGCAAAGCATTGCCGTGTCAGCTAGTGTATATATTTATTTGTATTATTAAATCTTGAAAATTCTAACTAGCGTCAGATTAATAATACCAAACAATCGAATGCCTATATCTGAAAATTAAATATTATTACCTAACTATAGTTATTATTAGTACCCACAGCGCATACGCTGTAAGCATCTCCCCCCCCCCCCCCCATCACATTTTGGGCCCTTGTATTAAATATTTTTGAAGTCCCTATAAAATAAGTATTCCTATCAAAATATTAAAATTTCAAAAATGTAAATTCATTAGGAAAATTTTTTCTATGGAGATACATAGCCAGGCCCAAGAATCCCTCGTGAAGCCCTAGTCGTACGGACAACCAAGCAGATATGTTTAAGTCTTCCATGGTGGCGCAAAAAGTCGGTCAATAATATTATTCTGGTACGACGAATGGCGATTTAATCGCACGCTGCATCAGTGGCGACGACTCAGCGTCGGCTATTATTTTTTTATTTTTCATTTATTTATTGTTAATCGCGCACGCACCAGAGTTATTACTCGTATCGTGTGTCGAATTCTGTAGACGTAAATGTTAAGTAAACAATTTTTTTTTCAGCTCACCGTTTTTTAGAGACAGCAGTATGTCCCATGACACGCTCTTATGTGTACAATATATATTAATATGAATATGGTATGCCTATGCGAATGAGCAAAAGAAAAAAACCACTACATTATACGGTTCTCGGTAAATTATTATACCCACATTTTTTTATTTTCTTGTCAACGGCGTCAAAAACGGTTTTGCAGTCCCTCACATTATATTATTACATAACATACTCGTATAATACATAAAGTAAATAATTTCAATGTACCTATATATGTATAGTACCTACATTGCCTATGTAAAATATCGCCGTATACGGTTGTCCTTGAAAAATCGATGCTATCCAACAGGGGGGCCATTATAACGACATTAAATCGTTTAATAGATCCAAAAAGTGACATAATATCAATAGGGCGCTAATTGCGGTATAGCCAAAAGGCTCGAAATAATATTATGGTCACATGCGAATATTATTATACCATAATGTACCCACCAATGTATAAAAACTAACAAACTGAACAGCACGTGGCTAATTAGCTATTCTGGAAGAGCAAAAGCGGAGTTGTGAGACTACCGTACTACGCGATGACAACAACGCGTTGTTTTCCTTTTTTTTATTCATATCGTATATATATTATACATAACATGTTATATCCATCTTAAGTGTACATAAAAACACGAAGAAGTGTGAGTGTGTGTGAGTATGTACTATGTGTGTATACTGTATAAAGTGTATATAGCAACTGATTATGACTATACTATAATACTATATAGACCTGTCACCGCCACGCTCGTCAAGTCTTACATTATCAATGATTCTGTTTGTATATTTATGCTTTTGAGCTGATATACCCACTGACTAAAACCAAACGAAGATTCGTCGGGAAAAACAAAAGGTAACACATCTAAATCACTGTAATGTAAGGTCGTGATATTATTATGTGATAAATGCTATTTTTTAGGTACAAGCTTAAAAAAAAGTTCTAACTATTCGAATTAGGTATAGAGCAAACTATTAACCTATTATGATGAGAATGGAAAAAATAAATATATTAACACAGTGAAACAGATTTTACATTAGTCCATTATAATGTACTTTTAAATAATATATTATATGCTGTTATGTATTATTATGTATTTATGTGCGTATGTTATAAATTTTTCGTTGTTTCAGTGGGGTGTGCGGGGCAGCTATAATAGGCGTTGGTGGAGGCGGTAACATGTACATAACTGCGTGCAGCAACCAGCGCGCGATAAGGAGAGACGCGGACCATAAATCTCCATCAGATCGAGTTACTGCCAAAACAGGTATTCGTGTTGAATAACTATTTTTCAGTCGTCGGACCACGCGAAGCATCCGTCGGTCGAGAAACGACCTCCGAGAGGCGCGACGACGGTCGTTAAATTTCGGGACTTGGGAGTCTCCAACGCGTTTCTTATATTACAACAACTATAAAACGAAACCCATTTATTACCGGTGGAATTTTCTTGTGTTTCTAACTGCAGGCTTTCGAAAATATATTATACCCGTGTAAGACGTAGGCAGCAGATACACAATGCGTGCGCGGATAGGGAGACGGCGCGGGCCACGCACTGTAAGCGCGCCGGTTCGCATAAGTATAGTAGTAATATTATATAGGTACAATATGACAATATTATTAAATAATTAAAGTGTTCAATTCATAACGTTATACGGTTTAAAGAGTGTTATACCTTCAGGTACCTCTTCGCCTATTACATCGGCAGTCAGTATCGTTATCCGCTGGATTCCAAACCCTTTACACCGCGTGAAGGAGAATAATATAGTATCATAATATAAATCCTATACTCTCTAGAGAAGTTTCAAACCCTCGAGCTCGTTCTCCGCGTGTACATTATAATAATATTATAGAAAATATCTGTTAATAACACCACATGCGTGCACACACATACAGACACATACATTTTTATATTCTCGTACACACACGGGCAGGCCAATAGATATTGTGTATGTATGCGTATAAAGTGAGAGTTGACACCTTGTTATTGAGATTCCGACGTGTGTTTTAATATTATATATATGTATATGTATGGAAACGAGTTTATCTCTCTCCTATGGATTTTGACATTTTGTTCGCAAACGGGCCAACCGGGAAACTAGTTCAGACCGACGACTTTTAAAAAACGCTTTATAACATAAATGATATATTAATACTATATGGGTAGAGATACATCTACAGTAAAAGCGTTATTTTATTATTGTTATAATATGTTATGACGCTGCACCAGACAACAATATAGTACCAATACCCGACGACAAGAAACCTTTTGCCGGAATTCGCGGAAATATAGGAAGACGGACGTATATTATTATTACTATTATTCCATTGACATCGACCCCATCCAGTTTCCGATATGGCGTAGGCACCGAAAAAAAAAATAATACCATTACAATACGTCAACAGCGTGGTGTTTTTATTATATACCCCGTCTCGTCGTTTTCGTTGTGGGCCTACGCACACCCGTACGCATTATATAGCATACACGTATCATACGCACGCTCGAGTGTCGGGTAGGTTCAAAAGATGGTTTTTGAAAAACAGACTTATGGTAGTCTCGGCGTGTGTGTTGAGGGGGGTAGGGTGGGAGTAACGCAATACGCGTCTACTTTCCCGAGAACGTATATTATATATTAATAACTATATGCAGAAGCCGTACGGCGATATACGTAGTTATTCTGTCAATGAGTCTTCCTGCGTGTTTGTGCGCGTGTTTATCGAAAACAACAACGCCTGTACATAATATTTTAGTATCCTCGTAATAAAATATACACGACGTGAGGAAAGGTTTGATTACATTGTGAGTTTGGGTGTATATTGTATATATAAGGTGTATCGATTTTTGGGCATCGCAAAGAGGTGGGTGGGGGGTCCAATCGCTACAGCCCCAAGTCCATTTTATTATTATTCTTACCTTCATGTGGGTCTTTCAATGACGGAGATAATTAAGACGACGACCGCGGTCGTCATCATCGTCGTCCTGCATCATCGCAGCAATCGGCTACCGCGTCATACGAGACGATGACGTGAAGACACGGGTAGGTAGGCGCGCACTTCTGCGTTTGCCGGTAAACGGTTTTCTTGCGCACTTATCGGAGCGGAATACGAAAAACGAAATTCTAAAGAAAAATAAGAAACCTAAACGGACGACACTGCAGTTCACGTACGCGAGCAGGTGTGTGTATATATTATATACTAATTAATATTCTGTCAGGAGTTAAACGGATTGGAAAAACTTCGTCACTGATGGGTGGCTGGTACAACAGGGATTGAAAGGAAATGGGCGCGAAACAACAAAATATGGTTATGGCGGAGCGGAATGACGCGGATGACTGATATAACGCGCGAGACCTGAGTTCGTGCGACCACGGCGAGCGGTCGTCTGGCGCGCGCACCGAACTGGACGGACGGGCTCGGCGTTGCCCGACGACGAGGTGATGGTGGTGGTGGTTACCGAGGTAGAGGTGGTTGTGAAGTAGGAGGACGACGACGACTACAACTACTACGACCGGTACCAAACAAAACTGAAACCGAACGACTATAATAATACGCGACGACGACTATGCGTATTATACCCACACGACCGACCGACGGCCCCGTCAGTGGCGGTTATGTCGCTGCTACATCAGAGGTTCTCAGAATGGATTTGACTGTCGGACACTGTGCTTGGGATTCCGTCTCCTGCGGTCTGTCTCGGTTTGTACATTACCTATATCGTGTATTTAATATCTAAATTATAATTTATGTTTTAATATTACACTGGCTGATTCTGGATGATTGAATTTTAAAATATAACTCCAAGAACTATATAATATTATTTAAGTACTAGGATGTATGCCATTTAGGGATTGCCCTGTGTTGATACATACTTTTTTAATCTGTAAATTGTTAAGCCTTAACCAGACTGCAAATAATAATTTTTTAAATGTTGATAAATTGAAATTTGGACAAGTAATTACTGTATAATAAACTTAATAATTTAACTTTTACGTTTATTTTTAATAAAAAGCTTTAAATTTTTAAAAATTGTCTACATTTTACATTTATTCTACAAGTATTTAATATAAAACAATTATTAAGAATTGGCTTAACTTTCAACTATTTTATATTCGATGAAAAAAATATTTAGGATTAAGAACTCTGAAACTACTCGTGGGAATTTTGATTTCGTTTTTAGATGTATCAACATTTCAAAAAAATGTTGTGCTTAACAATTTGTTTTAAAAAAAAGAATAATTTTGTATCCTCAAACAAAATTGAAAATCCTTAAATAATTAAATGGTAAAACAAATCTAAGTTTATCTGAAAGTATAGTCGTTATGTACATATAAATGAAAATTTGTACAAATTGGAATAGGTTTTCACAGAAGATGACTGATATCTAAACACTCAATCATAGCTTTACTTTTCACTTTTTGACTTACAAAAAAATACCAGACAAGCGCTTCCGCACTCCGTCTCAGGTGGGTTGCAAACACAGGAATCGGCACATATAACTGCAGACGGGTTTGGGGCACAGACTCAGCTGACGTAAATGTATTGTATATTATTATTTACTATAAATTGCGAACTTTGTTGGTGTACCTACATGTGCAGGCATGCAGCAAAAAGTCAAGTTCATGGGTGTACGTATAATCATGCTATAAAATTCGTTAACGTTGCAGTATATTAGTACTCAAATTGTACATGTATTTTTAAATATTTGTTAAAAACTTAAAAGGAACCCCTAACCTGACCCGTTTGGGTAGAAGTTTTTTCACATTACTAGTCGGAACGTGATCGTAATAATTGGTGTACTTGAATGTACAAATACATATATTGCATTTATAGCCCGGACGTCAAAGGTAGTGCAAATGGCTAGGTATCTGCTGATATTTTTATTTTTGGCACAACCGGTCCATGCCCAGCTATTTGCTAGCCAGAGATAATATAATAATTATTATAATATACCTGCCGATTACCATGCGAATACGTTTTTTACTCACGCAAGTTACGACTACTGAAGGTATTTGTGTCGCGTATAATCGCGTACGTGAATTTTATAACGCATTGAATAACTACAAACACGAATTACGACGATATAATAGTGTAAGTCAAGGATAAGCGAATAATTTATAAGCGTTCACATACTGTATTTATATATATTAAATTGTATAACATTATACAGAATATTATGAATGTGCAGTATAATATTATATTATATAGGAGAAGTAGTCTACAGGTAATAATATCGCTAATATAACGCGCTGTTTACATTATTATAAATATTTCATAATATAGGTACCTACATCTTAGCGTATATTGTTTGTATACAATATATTATAAGATTTGTTATTTATTGTTATGTAATCGACTTTGTTTATAAACAACTTATACGATTTAACACAGAATAATACACGAGAAACCTCTACGACAAAAATCATCACTTAATAAACTCTTAATAATAGGTAACCTACTCCTTATGATATAACGAATAAGAATGCAATGGTTTTAGCTGATACAACAATGTTTTTTTTTGTGTAGTTAATGATAGAACGAGTTTTTGAAAATGTCTAGGTATATATCCTACATTCCTACAGTAATATCGTAATATCTATCGGCTGTAGTTAATTATTCGAAAAGGGACATCTTTAAGTTTTTTCAGCATCGCAACTATCGCAATATATATTAATCTCTACATGTATAATATTTAATGTTGTGTATAGACTTATAGTTTCTTTAAATATATTATGTAATGAAAAATTAACAGTGACCGCCGGAAATTGTTAATTATTAAAATAATCTCAGCATTTGCAGTGCAGGTTTTTCGCTCAATGATTTTTATCACAAGTGTTCTGTAATGTTTGATAATAACAATAGGCACCAACTATCCTTCCTTGACTCCTGCAAACCTAAGGCAAGACTCAACTTTCAGTCCCCATATCTTGCCAGACTCATTTTTCTGGTAAGCATAAACGCAATAAGAGTGAGTTAATAGTTCACGGTGTATTCGAAGTTCATGTGAGACCCCATGAGAGATCGTAGTCTTCGGCTTGAATGAACGATCGTTGGCGATATAATATATTGTAGTTTAAAACATTCGCTCTTAGCGTGTACAGGAAACAGTCTTTCCTGATATGCACGTAGTAAGTACATTGTGCGCGCATAGCGCAGCGATTATATGCACTGCGCGAAGATTTAAGCAAAAACCAAACAGATGTCAAACGACATTTTTAACGCACGCATCGACGTCAAGGTCGCCTATATAATACGGAGGAATTAACTAAACCACTGTGCATTCAAAAAGGATGATAATAATTTATTTTCAACACGTATTTTTATTTATTGAAAAAAAGACTTTAAATAAACACATAATTATTGCAGTCAAGATTAATAAAGACATTCGAAGACATCGAATCATTGATTGAATACACTTAATAAATTCACTATTTCAGAGATACTTATGATAATATAATAATATGATTGTCATTTTAAATTACATATCTATATATTTGTAATTAGCTCTATAAGTACGCAGATTTGAACATCCGATAGACAAACATTCGGTGTATAACCTGTGGCCTGTTACACTTAGGGTATTCATATATATATATTATATAAATATATATGAATATATTATGAGTAAAAATATTTTTTTGTTATTATTTAATTATGTTTCTACATTTACAAAACAATATTATGTACACACATTTTTTAAATCCCTCGTAACAATTTATGGATATTGTTATTTACGTTTATTTTGAATGTTATACTATTACAACATAACATAACAATTACATATTTTAATGTATAAATTATAAATTCGTATACATCTGAACATTTCTAATAATTTTTTTATCTAAAACTATTTATATCGTGACATACAATTTGTACACCACTCATCGATATCTAGTTATGCCATGTGTATGTACTATGTACCAACTATTACTGATTAATGATTAGTATTATCAAATTTAATCTGTCATAAAAAAATTATTATTTGAAAATTAGATAAGTACCTATAGCTTATACTCTATAGTCGATACAATATGTTTGTAATACGTAATATTTAAACATGCAATCTTTACAATCGTGCCCATACTTATAAATTAGAACTTTTTATATTTAATTACCTTGCGTTGAAGTTCCTGAACGTAATAAGATCAGCATCCTTACACAAAATTAAAGCTAGAATTTCGTAATAGATGTAATTTATTTTGTTTTGAGATTCTATTATAAATAAACATTTAAATACACTAACTATAACTGAAGTACAAAATATTGTCTTTAAAGTAATTAAATAATCCATTCGGAAGTGTAGTATAGGTATTTTAATAAATTTGGTCAAAATCTGAACTTTCAAAGTCCTAACCTTTATAAAAAAATTTTAACATTATTTTTGATATTTATTAATTTCTGAATGAGAAACCTTGTACTGAATTATCAAATATTTTTGCTTATAAGAAAAACTATTGTTATCGAAGTACCCTTATTTTCCGGGTTTAACCACAAAACAGTAACTCCAATTTTGTCAAAATTGAGATTTTGGTGTCCATAGAAAGAAAAACTTTTTTGAATCAAATCATGTAGTAAAAAAACTCACATATCCAAATTTTAAGCTATTACAATTATATTTAAAATATGAAAAAAAGGTAAGTACAATAAATGTCTTCAAGAAGAATCAAATAAGCAGTAAATCTTATTCAAAGAGAAAAATAAGAGAATACACAATATTATTCAGAGACATGGAATCAACTTTTTTTACCCTCCTAGTATAATACTATAGTATACTATATATTAGTTTCAGACTAAATAACTATAGGAAAAATAGTCTATGTAATTCCTGAATGCAGATAAAATTGTTAAACCATTATATTATGCACAACTGAAATAAGAATAATAAATAATACATATAATTTATATTATAGGTAAATATCTACATCTATATCTATATTATACATGGTAAATAATTGATTTTATTCTATTAATAATATTTAGAGTTTGACGAACACTGAAACTTGTAAGCAATTTATTTTCCTCCAAATCTGATATCAATCCTTTTAATATATGTTTTAATTTATAGACTTATTATTTCTAAACCGTTTTTACTTACTATTTAGTACATGACAAATAGAGGCTGTCAAACCGGGAAGAGGGTGAGGAATGACCTTTTTTCACTATTTACAAAAACTAAGATATATGTTTAAAACGGTAACCATAAATTATATTTTCAATGATCAAATAGTGTATATGTTAAAAAATCAACCACCCTCTCACCAATGTCATTTGACCACCACTGGATATTAGTTGGTATTCTTTGTCTTTTTTTTGTGACATTTGTTTAAAATTAATAGGAAAAGAGGTAAAAATTGGTTAATGCAGCTACAGCAATAGTTTAAGCATTAACTGTATTAGTTACTCCTCAACTAAAACTGTAAGTTTAAAACATCGAAATTATTACGTATTAAGTATTTAGGAACTTTGATAATTTAATCTA